GTAAGTCATACTACATGTAAAAGATCAAAAATTTCGCCAAGGAGATTTCAGTCTTGAAGATGAACCGCGTGCTGGACGCCCTCAAAAGATTGAAACGGACGAATTGCAAGCACTGCTGGATATAAACTCTGCGCAAACTAAAAAGGAGCTTGCAGAACAGCTTGGCGTTATGCAGCAAACCATTTCCGACGTTTACATACGATGGGAAAGGTTCAGAAGGAAGGCAGATGGGTACCGCATGAATTGTCCGAAGACAACAAAAATCGTCGGCGTGACACTGCACTCACTTTGTTTTCAAAGTTCCGGAAAAAAGATTTTCTACACAAAATCATTACAGGCGATGGAAAGTGGATTCTTTATGATAACCCTAAACGTAGAAAATCATGGGTTGACCCTGGCCAACCTTCGACATCGATGCCAAAGCCCAATATCCACGCCAAGAAGGTTTTGCTCTGGTGGGATTGGAAAGGTGTAATGTATTACGAGTTGTTATAACCGGGTGAAACAATCACGGCAGACCGCTACCAACAACAATTGACCAATTTGAGCGATGCATTAGAAGAAAAGAGGCCATTTACTGGCCAAGGACGTCGTAAAATGATTTTGCTTCATGACAATACTTGACCACATGTTGCAAAAGCGACTCAGGACCATATCTTTGCGTTAGGCTAGGAACTTCTCCCGCACGCGGCGTATAGCTCAGACATGGCGCCTTCCGATTACTACCTATTCCGGTCGCTGCAGCATCATTTGGCTAATACACATTTCGTGAGATTTGAAGAGATACGAAAATGCATTGATGACTTTATCGCTTCCAAACCGGTGAGCTTCTATTGTTAAGGAATTCGCAAGCTATCCGAAAGATGGCAAAAGGTCGTTGATGCAAGCGGGGAATATTTCGCTGATTAATATTTTTTTATTTGTTTTTGAATAAAGATTGAATTTTACAAAAAAAAGCTCAGAATTTTTTTGTACATCTAATAAAAGATTCTTTAAACGAAACAATCAGAAGTTAGGGTAGTAGTATGGTTATAAAGAAATCGAGCGCAGATCTTGTAGCATATGATTTAATTATGGATTAAGTATTATATGAAGTGTAAACATATCGGCTTACTTTTAAACCATCCTCAGTACAAATACAGTTGACATAAAGCGTAAGATGATGGTGAAAAAGCTCTTGATTATGATTCTTTGGCAAGGAGACTTATTAAACATCCTATAGACAACTGTCCAAAACGCAGTTGCACGACGGATGAAATTGTTACAAAATGTTAGGTACAAATTGTTAGCAACAAGCTAGAATAGTTGTAGAGATTTTTTTAATGTAAGGAATAGCTAATGAGGAACTGGGAGTAAAAACAGGATGTAATAAAGAATATAATCATCTTATCTCCAAATCACCACACAAGTACTTCGCATATATGTAATAAATAATTCGTAAGATAAAATACAATGGTGATTAAAATACATGAAATATAGTCATAACAAAGTCCAGTTTTTAAATTTAAAATGTCTAAAAGATAATAAATTATAATAAATTAGAAAAAGATATAGTAAAAAACACAATCAACAAAACGATTACATCGTCCAATGTCAAATTGTAAAATGGTAACAATTGCCGGCGGTAAAAACAGATGTAATTACAAAATAGGAGATGGCAAAGTTATTTAAAAGAAGTATGATATATTATTAATTTGATTATTTGTTTATGAGTGTAAAATAAACTCGATCTACAACAATTCGGTATCTGTTTTTAGATATAGACCGTTCTTTTGTCTTTCTATATATATCATTTCTGAGATTAACCGTTTGTTGTACAAGTTTTTAACATCCAGCATTTTCACGTTCTTCCATTCAAATTCATGTTTCATATAAAAACTCTGGTCTGCAATTACAAAACGGGAAGATTCCGAGTAGTATGTCTGCGATGTTCAGAAATCCGAGTATTTAATAATCGTTCCGTTTGTCCCACATAAAATGCATCGCAATTTTGGTAATTAATCTCGTATACGACATTTCTTTTTTGTGAATTTAATAGGGAGTTTTTATGTACCCTAGTGGCACCACGAAGCTTAATATTATAAAATGCTAGTCTGAAGTTCGAGTTTTTAAAGATGTTGGCAAATTTCTTGTATATTACTAGTACTATCACTCGTCGATCTCCAATTTTGCTTATATATTAGATTTTTTAGATTTAATATCAAAAATGAATTTCTTCGGGTAGTCATTATCGAGTAGTATGTTAACAATAAATTGAAGGTTTTTCTCGTAAAATTCCGGATGCGAAAGTAAAAATGCTTTATTCTTATATCAGGGAAATGGCTGTATGTATCTTAGACTGGCGCCTAGTTAGAATTGTCGAGGCCCTCTTATTATGATGTAAGACTCTTACTATGATGTCAGTGATTAACAAAGGGTTAATTTTGGTCATCTTAATCACTGACCAGCTCATTGATCGGATTAGCCTTAAGATCGAGGCTCCTCTATCCCCTCACCATGGGCCCGTGCCATCTTTATGGTGA